AAATCCTATTCCAATGTCTCTCTAAGGACGCTGAACTCTGCCTTTGTATGGGACAGAAACGTTGGCCCAGGATTTTTCAACCTACACAAATATTTTTTTAGTGACTATTATTGTTTATATTTAGAATCTCTCCTCAAAGCTCATGTGCTCAGAGGTGGGGCTCAGAAGACACTGAGATCTGCCTGCACACAGGAGAGAGACTTGGAAGGCTGTCTGGAGCCGCTTGTGCCTTCAGCTGACAGCCTGACTTACAACCAACCTTTAGAAATGAATTCACAAGTCAAGGGTCCGCAGTTTCTCTAAACACAGGAGATTTTGAGGGAAGATTCTAGAAATGTTTGTGTTTTGGTCTCATTCTGTTATTTGCTTTACAGCCCAGCTTCCTAAAGGCAGAAAGACCGTGCTCCTCTTCTCTGGGCCTCCCATTCCCGGCCCAGCACGCAGCGCATGCTCAGCTGTGTGCGCAGATGTGCAGCTGTCTGGGACAGATGCAATGAATGGCTCTTTTGATCCCTTCGGGCCAGATGCCACATCTCCTACCCCCAAAACGCATGACGATATCACAGTAAAAGTCAAGGGGAGGCTTGATTGCCCCTGTCGCATGAACCGTTTCCAAGAATGGTTTTATCCTGAAGGGTAATTGTTTTCAAAACTGAAAGTTGGATCATGGAGTGATGAAGATGCCCCAGATGAAGATAAATGCATAGATTTTGAGGGAAATTTCCAAGGATAGCAGATATTGGAAGTTCTGGGAAAATGGGATTTCCAAGAAATGCCCAGAGCATTTTATTATAAAAGTAGAGTCATTACTGGGTGCAGTGGTGCACAACTGTAGTCCTAGGTACTAAGGAGGTTGGGGCAAGAGGATTTCCTCAGCTGAGGGCTTTCAGGCCACCGTGAGCAACATAGTGAGACTCATTTCATAAAAATAGTAAGGTGTCAGTAGCCTCACTGTCTCTGCTTACAAAACAAGAATGTGGAGATGTCCTCAGTTGTCAAAAATCCAACTTCTACCTGAGTCTGGATTCTCCCTAAAAGGAGAACTGAAAGACCTGAGAGGAGAAGAGAAAGCAGGCACGTAGCCCACACGCGATCTGGAGCATCCTGCACAGAACGCTGTGGGATCTCCACTCTAAACCTTTGCACTCTTGATTGTTACACAAGGCCAACAATGTGGATTTATCAGCCCACTCCAGAAAGGGAGGGGAGCTTCCAGAGGCAACATACAGCAACACTGAGGTGACGGCGGCCCACCAGCCAACAAGGGGAAAGATTTCAATGAAAACCATCATGAAAGCAGGCTGTCTGTGCCATAGTAGATTGTTCACTGCAGGAGCATACACAAGCCAGGCCACTAACACCTGGAGGGCGTCCACGTCTCAGTCTGGGGAGCTCACCGAGCTCTCTGTGGCTGTTGGCAGGAGTCATGAGTGTGCACAGTGAATGCTTTTAATAGGCAGTGAGGAATACGATCCAATTTAGGAATGGCTGGGCACCTCGCAGGTAGCATCTCTCATCTTGCCTGCTGGAAGGAGTGGGGAGTCAGGAAATGCTTCCCAGAGCCAGGAAGAGGAAGCACTGCTCTGCAGCAGTGAGCCCAGCTGGCAGGACATTTGCTTGTGTATGAAGGACACACCACTGCCACAACTGCACCAATTCCTTGGAGCCCCTCCTGCTGAGGATGGGGGCTGGGCGTGGGGGGACTTGGGCATAGTCATAGCTGATTTTGGACAGCCGAGCCAAACTGGACCAGTTAGAGTTCTCTCCTTGAAAGACATAAGGCTTTGGTTCAAGAACTGGAAGGTCAGATAGTCCTTTGGTTAAGTTAACACTGTGTGCTTCAGAGTTGCAGAGAAATCTGACCCACAAAAGGATGCTGATTTATTTGCTTAGACCCCTCCCACTCCCATTTCCAATCTAGTGTTTCAGCTCCTGGGGTCACAGGGGACACCACGCAAGGGCTCCCATTCAGATTAAAAAGCAAGGGACAAATACATGACCAGATGGGACTTCCACCTAGGGGCCAGTGCAGTGACCCATGGTGAGAAGGAGCTATGGGGGAACTAGTCAAGGGAGACTGGATATCCCTTCAACCTTGCTTGTGGCTGAGCCTACTGCAGGCTTGTTGTCCCCACTGCTACTAAAGTGCTATGTTGGGGATGCAAAACTGAATCAAGTAGCTAGAGCAGAAGTGGATCCTCTGCAGATGAAACAGCCTCAGGGGACCCTGCTCCCAATAACACCCAACCTGGTGAGCATCCAAGCTGTTTCTGGATTTCCAAGCCAGATCCAGCAGGTCTGATTGTCTCTACACCACTCCATTCCCCAAGGTGGATTAAAACAGCCCACTGAGGGCTGGCAAGATAGCTCAGCGGACTAAGCACCTACTTTGGCAAGCGCAAGGACCATGGTTCCATCCCCAGTCCTGCATACCATGCCAGCCCTGCCCCCAAAGTGCACTGAGCCTTCCAACAAGTCTGGGCATGGTGGCGCATGCCTGTAATCCCAGTGCTGGGGAGGCTGAAAATAGGAGGATCTCTATGAGTCTGACCTGCCTAGTTAGACCCTATACCAAATACACAAATAAAAAAAGGAAAAAACAAACTACAACAACAAAAATACCTGTTCACTGCCCTCTATGGAACCCAAAGCAGGACAGAAGGGTACTTCTATCTGTGAACCAATGCGCTTCCTGCCAGACCTATACAGCAGGGCTTCTCAATGGGAGCTCTTCGGACCCTCCGGGGAGGTGCGTGTAGACTCTAAAGGCCTTGTCCTCCAGGGGTACATGCAGAGACTAATGGCCCTGTCCTTCCACGCAGCAAAATGCATCTTTGTCTTCACTAACTTCTAAGTACAAGTTAGCTTCACCTTCCTAAAAATGCGGTCAACAAACCCCAACCACCTTGGCAGCTGTGATCGCGGGCTGGGCCACTGTCTCCATGCGCGCCCACCACTGCTGGGAAGTGGCAGACACGTGGGGCCCTGCCCAGCCTTCTAACTTAATACTAAGGAAGTACGTATGACCCCATTCTAATGGATTAAGTTTGTAGAAATAAATTACTGCTTCATAGTAGAAAAACTTACAGAATGAAAGTATAGACAGAAAAAAAGAAAAGTGATGCTGGTAGCTTATGAAAGGGCTACTACAGAGAAAAGGGGCATCTCAAGCAAAAAATGTCCAAAGCTGCTAGAGAGGAAAAACAAAAAGTGATTTATGATGGAGTCAGAGGAAGTTATAAAAAAGTGTCTGTAAAGGAACTGGATTAAAATTCTCAGCTTGATGAGGTTGGTGGACAGGCACCAATTGTGGCTGCTGATTGTAAAAGAACTTGCTGAATCTTGAACTCATACTGCGTCTGCAGTTAAAAATGTTCTAGGACTGCTAAGGCCATAAGATTACCCGACCTTGATAGCTTTCCATAAATGACATACAAACATCCAAATTTCGTGGCCAAGACTGTTCTGTCAAGTCCTGCAAGATTAAGGTCTTCCTTCTCTCTAAACTTCACAGAGGAGGCTAGACAGCTGAAGTACATCCAGCGAGAACAAATGAAAGCCTGAGAAAATCTGCAGCTCAATGAACCAGCCAGCTTCACTGATGCCCCTGGAGTTGTGACAGCCACCCCCTGTAGACAGGATGAGGAACACAGAGAAACCCACATGGGGCCCAGAGGGACTGCTACAATCATGGCACCTGCTTTATAAATCGTAAGCTGAAATACATTGGGAAGTTACATTAAAGCCTGTTTCCATTTCTAAAATGTACAGTAGAAAGCAAGGACTACAGTGATTATCACAGGGCATGAGAACAGCTGTGAACACTCATAACTTCCTATAACAAAAAAGAAATTTTAAAAAGATATTTTCCTCTAATTGCAGATGGAAAGGCTCTATTCTCGTGTCGCTGTGCTGATCACTTGACATAGAGCAGGTTGGATGGTGTTACGGTTTGTGTATAGTTTGCCCCCCCCAAGCCTCATGGAGTCTTGGAGCAGCTTCCAGAGTTTGTGATTGTTGGTGTGGATGCTGCACCTGCCTTGGGGCAGGTAATTTGCATTTCAGTGTAAGGAGGAAAGAGAAGCTAGCAGCTTGAACTGCTGCTACCCCTCCCTTGTGCTCTTGCTCTTTGCTGCCAGCGTGAAAGGATGCTCTCTGTCATGTGCCAGGCTGCCTTGGAGCCAGCTGAGTGTGGACTGAAGCCTCCAGTAACTGTGAGCTAAATAAACTTTTACTTCCTTCATTTTGAGTATTTGGTATTTGTCCCAGCAATGAGAGAAGAATAACTTAAGACAGATGATTTGTGGGGTGAAATAAACCCTGGCTTTCTTAGTACAGAAGGAAGAATATAGGAATGTCACCTGGGTGTAGTGGTGCACAATGGTCAGCCCAGTTCTCAGGATGTTGAGACAGGAGGAATTCTATGAGTTTCAGGCCAGCCTGGACCACACAAGTTAGTTCAAGGTCAGCCTGTACTATACAGGGAAATGTCTCTAAAGCAAAACAAAACAAAACAAAAAAAGAAGGAATAAAAGGAAAGAAGACAGACAGAAAGAAACAAGGGGCGGGCTGGGGAGATGGCTCAGTAGAATAAGTGCTTTCCTGGCAAGTGCAAGGGCCTGAGTTCAATCCTCGTTTTCACCAAAAAAAGGAAGGAAGGAAGGAAGGAAGGAAGGAAGGAAGGAAGGAAGGAGGAATTGCAAATGTCTGATACCTTTTCTAGAAATGGCAATATTTTGGGTATCCTGGGTTAAATGAAATGCATTATTAAAATTAATTCTACTGTCTCTATGTTTATATGGGGCTACTGAAAATTTAGCCATCCCTGTGGCTGACAGTTGTATTCCCAGTAGATGCTGCCCCAGAACTAAGTGTTCCCGTGGTGAGGGGTGTGTCACGGGCCTGGCGTTCAGGACAAGCAGCACCTGCATTTAGATACCCATTCCCACATCGCCATGTCAACACACCATCCCTCAGGTAAAGGAAAAAGACACAGGCACTGCAAAGTTACAAATTTATTGGTCTGGAAATAAATACAAATATCTCATTAAGAAACTCCTCTGGAAAGGCTTGTACAAGAGCTTCCAGTCTGCACCCAGCCACTCTCTCCCAGGTCCCTGATCTTTTCTCCATAAGGTCAGGGGCTGCCTCTAAGCTGGTGGCAGGCAGGTTAGCTGAGTTATTGAATCTTGGCCACCCACAGGGTATGCCTGCTACCAACTCTAGCGTGCTGGGAATTAGCAAGCCCCAGTGGCCGGTATACAATGTTCGATTCCCTCTGATTAAACTCACTATAAGGACGTCCAAGGTTAGCCAAAGTGGAAATCAGAAGGCAGCAGTAGTACAGGAACCTGACAGCTGCACACGCATCTCTCAGGAGCATCGGTGCTTCGGCCTGGTCAGCAGGTTAAAGAAGCAGGAGGCAGCACAGGGAAAGGCGTCCCCACGGAACAGAGATCCTGGCACCCATGTTTTCTCAGCCCATGAGCCACTGAAACTTCTATCCCTTCTTAGAGCAGAAAATTCTCTCTGAAGACCCCAAAATAGTCTTGGGTCAGAAACATTCAGCTATCAAGTTCAAAGACAACCTCAGAAGTGAACAAGGGGAGACTGGATTTAACTCGATCATATAAGACTCCTGGGGGAAAACGGTGGGGCCCACTGGTGTCAAGACCCTGGATTCCATGGAAACCACTTCGCTAGGTCATGCAGCTCCCACTCGCAGCCCCCTTGCCTGCTTCCGGGCACACGGATTCCTCCAGGCCTGGAACAGCTGGCTGGAACATTTGCCTCCATGTCAAAGAAAGTAACTATAGAGCTAATGAGCTTCCCCATGAACAAAGTTAATCACTTGCTTCAGGGTGTGGGGCGGGAGGTAGGGGCAGTGCAGGAGGCCCTTAGCAGAGCCAAAGCCTTACAACACCGTGACACCAAAGTCTGCCAAAGCTATCCTTATGCACAGCTGGCAGAGCATGCTGCCTGATTCTACTGTACATTAAAAGATGTCGGAGAAACAGGCACCTGTGCTCTGGCACTCGATTCATCTATGCACCACGTTTAAAAGCTGATTTGAAGAAAGTGAACTACCATGGGTGTGTTTTTCCACATGCGTCTAGCCTCCACTTAAATTCTACCTCTTCCCCCCCTCTTCTGGCTTCGTGCACCCACAGGTCCCTGCTCTGGCTCTCCCTGGCCCGAGGGGGTTTCGTTTCCAGGAACCCAGTCAGCTGGACTTCAGTCGGACAGAAACAGGAAGTAAGTAGGTGGCAAGATGCCAGCACACCGGGTGCCCGGGCCAGGAAGGGGAAGTGTTCACTTCTCTGCGTTTCTTGTTGTTGGCAGTTTGGTGTCTCTGAGGACAGGTAAGAGAGAGGCAACCAGGCCACTGGTTAATGAAAACAGGACACTGAGCTGCCTCTGTCCTTTGGTCCCCCTGCCACCTCACCCTCGTTCAACAAGGGGCCCTGGAAAGACCCAATCTGTCCTCGCCAGAGTTCACTCTCAAAACAAGCTTTGGATTAATACCGAGTTAGCGCAGGGTGGCAGGCCTGGGCAGGGAGGGCGGGAGGGGAGGCCACTACAGAGATCTGAGTCCAGGGCGGGGGGCACAGGCTGCCTAGCAGGACACCTCCATGGACTTGGGCCCAGTGCTGTTCCCACTGGCTCCCGAGTTGGGGGTGATGTCCAGGTGGGCTCCCTCGCTGGTGTGGGAGCGGCTGCGGGGGCCTTCGCTGGTGTGGGAGCGGCTGCGGGGGCCCTCGCTGGTGTGGGAGCGGCTGCGGGACCCTTCCTGGGAGGTGACGCTGGAGCCAGAGGCCGTGCGGGACCTCATTAGGCGGGTCATGCTGGCGGAGGGCACTGGAAAAATAAAGGACAGGCTGGTCAGGGGCAGGAGATGGCGACAGCGGACAGACCACATGCACTTTCCTTCCTTCTTTTCCTTCCTTCCTTCCTTCCTTCCTTCCTTCCTTCCTTCCTTCCTTCTTTTCTTTCCTTCCTTCCTTCCTTCCTTCCTTCCTTCCTCCCTCCCTCCCTCCCTCCCTCCCTTCCTTCCTTCCTTCCTATCTACCTTCCTTCCAGCCCACCTGGAGGAGTGCCCTTCCTGCCTCTCTTCAGCCCTGCAGCAATTGAGCCACAGGGGATACTCTGTGTACTCACAGGGGATAGTGAGGACCAGATAGAAGGACTTGTAGAGTGACCTGGGCCAATAACTGGTATGAGACTCAATTCCACCACTGGCTTAATAGTGAAGTGACGTTAGGAAAGTGCCTCTCTGAGCCCCATGGCCCCATCTCTGAAATGGGGACACTAACACAGCCCTCATGGGAGTGCGCCTACCACCCCACACTGGCAGATGTCAGAAGAGCAGGGAGGTGGGTTGAGGGCAGGCCAGTGGATCTTTGCACCTCATGGGTGGGAACGAGGTCCCCACAGCAAGTGTTCAGCAGAGGGGCTAGTCAGATAGATCAGCAGACTAAAGTGCCTGCTTAGGCAGGCGCAGGAGCCAGGGTTTGATCCCGGCATGCCATGCCAGCCCCACCACCAGGGCGCACTGAGACAGCAACTGAGACTGGGCGTGGTGGCACGTGCCTGTAGTCCCAGGGCTTGGGAGGCTGAAAACAGGAGGATCACTATGAGTCCGAGCTGTGTAGTGAGACCCTGTACTAAATACATGCTTTTAAGAAAGTATTCAGCAGAGACCTTGCTTGTCTGTGTTTTCCTCAAAGAGCCGTTAGCTTCCCACACTAGCAATGGTGCAGCCCATTCTTGGAGATCTTCTCCAGGACTTCAGCAGCCAGGGGCTGCATGGTTGATGACCAGCATGACTAACAATGCTTCCCACCTCTGCGGGACTGCAGTGTGCCAGGCCCACCCGAAGCCTCAGCATGTGACCTGGACTAGAAACAGCATCTTTACAGAGACAACGAGCTCAGATGAGGCTGTTGTGGATGAAGGTGCTCCCTAATGCCAGGCCTGGCATCCTCCATAAGAGAAGACGACAGAGACACTGCCACAGGGCAGACGGTAGTGGGCCGATGGAGGAAGGGCCTGAGCCGAGGCTTGCAAGGCCTGGGAGGTCAACGAGTGGCTGCTGCCTCCAAGGGCGGCCAGGCAGGGAGGAGGCAAGCGTCTCCTGCAGCCTCTGGGGGTGCCACTCCCCCACACTTGAGGCTACACTTTCCACCTCCTGAACTCTCAGACAATGAGTTTCTCTCCTTTTGAGCCACTTTATTTGTGACAGTTTGCTGTGGAAGCGCAACAAGACTAAAATTCCATCCACCTGCAAGGGCTGTACTGAACAGCACATCAGCCACCAAAGCAGAGGACGTGGATGAGTCCACATGGCAACCACAGTCACTTGGTGGCTGGTTTTCCATGACAGATATTCACACATAGTAAATTCCCTGCTTAAAGAGCTAGTTTTTGAATCAGAAAAAAAAAAAAAAAGATGGACATCAATCTCACATCTGTGGTCCACATATTTTACCAGTCTTTACTTCTAGGCATCAAATTTGGGCAGCTCCCCACCGTCGGGGCTACAGAGCTATCTGGGGATGCCAGGTGCACACACAGGGCCAGTGCCACAGCTACCATTGCAAACAAGGGATGAATAGTTCCTCTCTCTCTCTCTCTCTCTCTCTCTCTCTCTCTCTCTCTCTCTCTCTCTCTCCCACTGAGCACTGTCTCTGGGACCTAAGCTGTACCCAACATTTCTCTGAGGCCGGCAGGATGCTTTACTGCTGGTGCTAGAAGCTGAACTGGGGGTGGAAAGCCGAAACAGAAGCTGACTGGGGGGAAATCAAGGCCTTGTTTTTGCTTGCTTTGTCCCCAGAATACACTGTGGAAGCAGAAACCCAAATCCATGTCAGATCCAAGACAAACGAGCCTGCAAGGTAAATAGGGCCTGAGCCCGCTCTCTGGCTTCGACCCTTTCCTGTCCCCTCCCCACAGGGAAACCCACAGGAAGCAGGGCAGGAGGTCTGTGAGCAAATGCGTTGTGCTGCCAGAGGGCACCTGGGGACAGGGATGCTGCCCAGCAGGGAAATCGCGCTCCCTCGCTCCCAGCCCTGCTAGAAGCCAATCGTGGCTGGAGCTGAGGTTAGAATTGTGCTGGTGGGTCAAACACACTGTACTCTCTTGCAGAAATGAATGGTTTAAGGAAAAAAAATGAGATTAGAAGTTCCAGGCCTTCCTTCTAATTCTACATATGGACAAGAAGAACTGAGAAGGCCACACTAACAGGCCACCAGCTCTGGCAGGGCACCCTCTCAGCTAGCAACTTGTACTGCTTCCTGCGTGTTCTACTCAGAGTGTGGCTATGTGTGGGTGACTATCCCAAAGCTAAAAGTAAGGCAGGGGTAGCAAGTTCTAGAATCAAGCTTTTACCTGTCCATCTGTTCTAGAGTCCAATGAGTTAGCACAGCCTGGCTCTATCTGGAGCCTAAGTAGCTCTACCGCCTACTCATGCAGAGCTCGGAACTCTCAGAGACACGCTCTCTCTCCTTGCCTAACCTCTTCGGGCTACAATTTTCTCTTCTGTCAGGTGAGGTCAAGAAAGTCAAGGTCAAGAATCTCTTGTGAGGCTACTCTGAGGGTTAAATGTGAAGGAAGAGAGGGCTTATCCATCATTCATCACTCCCACCTCTACCTTCACCAACTTCAGTTCAACTGGCAGGCTCTCGAGCAAGTACCCAATCCAAACTAAAAAGACAGTCATTGCTTGTTTCTGTCATCTTCTCAGTGCCTACAGGGACAGTCCTCAGCTAGATGTAAAACAATCGCAGGTGTGAAGCAATTTCTGTCCAACCACCCTTTGTGCGTGCTGTACAGTGACGTTTCCGTCAACGATTGAGTGTAGGACAGCGAAGCCGTGAGATTGCACTACTTAGCACCGCTTGCAAGAGCTGGATCTTGGAAACAACCTAAATGCCCATGCACTGAGGAATGGATAAAAAACGATGTGGTATTTTTTACAATGGAGTCCTACACAATGATAAAGGATAAACTGGAGACTTCTAGAGGTAAATAGATGCAACTTGAGACCATACTCATAAGTCAAACAAATCAGACTCATATCTGTTAATGTCATCTTGTTCTTGGTATGAGAAACTGAAAGAGTAAATAAGTTGTAACATGTACAGTAGACACTGTGAAAGGGGAAGAAATTGGTCAAAAGGAAAAAGGAGCTAGAATGGGGAAAGGGGAAAGGATGGAAGGGAAAAGGATAAAAAGATGCAAGATACTTATACTAATAGTGTCTCTTCGTTCATTAAAAAGGAAGGATTTTCCTAATGTTGATGGGAGAAATTTTAATGCCCATATCTTGTATTTTTATGCCCAAAGATAACAATATGCAGGGCTGGGGAGATGGCTCAGTGGAGTAAGTGCTTCCCTGGCAAGCGCAAGGGCCTGAGTTCAATCCCTGGTTCTGCCAAATAATAATAATAATAATAATAATAATAATAATAATAATAATAATAATAATAACAATATGCAATGTCAGGCAATGTGGGCCATAGCTCAGCAGTGCAGTGCAAGGTCCTGAGTTTGATTCCCAGTGGGGGGAAAATGTATTTTTATTATTCTCCTATTATATTGTTATGCAATTTTGTCTGACCTATTTGTCATAAAACATAGATGATACTGCTTAGCATGCCTAGTGACCTCCTGGCTGCTGAAGGTTTGCCCGGACACTGCATCATGTTCACCTCACTGGGAAACTGACTACAAAGGCATTTCTCAGGTGCTTCCTATCCTTCAGTCATGCATGATGACAACATTTCTTTCTCTGTCCTGTTCACTGTCCAGAACTTGGAACTCTGCCAGTGCGACACAGAATTCTCACCCAACCCCTGCGAGGGCATGGCACTGGCCCTCCCGCTCCTCCCCAGGCTGGGAGATGCCATACTCACTGTATCCCATGCCCTGCACAAAGTACTTGAAGGCCTCGGCGAGCTTGGCTGGCTGTGAGAGAGAGGGGAGAAAGAAAGTGCAGTCAGCAAGGGGAGGTCCGGGTTGCTAAAGGCCTCCTCAGCAGGGGCTGTGGCCACCTTCACACGGAGCTTTGCCTGGAATGAACATAGGCCATGCACTGACGGGAGAAGACAAAAGCAAAGGCGATGATCTAGATGTCTTCCCAAAGCCTCACACTGTCACAGGTGGGGCTGTTCCAGAAGTGGCTGAATCTACCTTGTGTGATGCACAGATTAAGGGTGCGTGATTACCACGTCGTCGGTCCACTGATTGGTCAGGCACCACCCTAATCCCAGCAGTCTGGACACAGTGTAAAAGGGGCAGAAAGATGCTGTCAAGGTCCCCTGTTGCCTTGCTATGTTCTTCCTGTCACAAACTGTTCTCCTCTAAACTATCCTGCCCTGGAGCCAGCCGAAACCTCTACAAGCTGGAGCCCATTTAACTTTGGGCATCCAGTATTTTTGAGAAAAGTAACTAAGAGAGGTAAAATCTGGTCTCCTTATAAAACTAACATTAGGTTTGGCCTGAGAGAAAAGGTTGAAAGTCACTTCAGCTTTGGCCAGGGAGAAAGAGTTGTAAGGCACTTCACAGCTATAGGTACTAGGATAGCAACATGACCATCTGAACTGGTTTCCTGCCTGTGACACAGGGCAGTGTCACACTGAATGCTGAATGCTTCTGGGGACCACGCTGGATGCAGCACTGCTCCCCACCTCTGCAGAGCCACAGCAGCATCTCGAGCTGCTCGGCCTACCAAGGGCGCCACCACACAGCACCATTTCATCTCCTCCTGCCAAGCACAGTGTGCAGTGCACGTTACTTGTGTGTGCACAGCACAGCAGACAGCTGGAGTGGAAAGTGACACATCCAAAGTCCTCAACTAATCAGGGGCGCTTCCTGCAGATTGGATCCAGGGCCTCCAAACCCAGAACCCATGTGCTCAAGGTAATTCACCACCAGCCTCAATGCTAGGATGGACAGAAGGGAGGGAGGAAGGGAGAGAAGGGGGGAGGGCACGAAGGGGGAGAGAGGAGGAGGGAGGGAGGGAGGGAGGGGGAGGGGTAACAGATAAATGGATGAAAAGGAAAAAGGGAGGAAGGAATGAGACTATGCACAGACAAATAGGTGGCTAAAAATAAAACAGGATTAATAGTCTAAAGAAAGGAAGGGAAAATGGGCAAGAAAAGGAAAATGAAAGGAGGAAAAGATGGAAATAAGAACTGATGGCTGGATGCTTGAGTGAACAAACAGGTTTGATTAATTCACTGGTTCCTTTAACTGAAATAAGGATGGAATATGAAGACCACACTCGGTCCGATCACTCCCTCTACAATGGGCAGTTTGATCTGAACTCGGAAGAATACTCAGCGCATCTGCAGGCTTCCAGCAAATGCAGAGCTCACTTCCATTGTCCTGGGTCTCCTCCTACAGTGAGAGGCCACTGGCTGAGGCCCCCTGCCTGACATCCCCATCAACTCCTGCCACTAACCTATAAGAAGGCCAGTGACATTTGGCTATGCAAAAATTGCCCTCTGGGATTCATGTGACTATGGAAAAAGTGACAAGTGAGGCATGTCAGGGCTTCAGAGAGAAGGGACAGAACTGAGACAGGCTTGAGAATGGGACTCACTGACCCAGCGGGGCTTCTCCAGGTGGCCATGGATCAACTCTCGTATATTCTAGTCTCAGTGCCCTCTTCTGTGACAGTGAGATCAAATCCTGGCTCTTTCTGCCTCTGAAAATGATCCACTGTTTGTGGACACAGTCCCAGCTGTGAGGGCCTCAGGAGGGAGCTGCAGTGGACCAGGAGCAGGGCCTCCCCAGTGGGTCTGCCAGAAGCCTGGGCCCGCACACTCCTGCCATGGCACCGAGAAACAGCCTTGACTGCAGGCAGTGTGAGATCTGCTCTAGTTTCAAGCAGGGGAAGGAAGCAATGAGGTGGGACAGGGTGTGGAGGAAAAAGATGACAAATATTTCATGGAGTATTCTATTTGAAGATAGCATTCAAGCTCGCCTGAGATAAAGTGGGAAGAAGATACAGGAAAGGTCCATCTGATAGGTAGATGGGGTTTTTATGGGAGGCCCCTGGAAGGTGAATTATGACAGGGCAGCAAGCACGCTACATCCCTGACATGGTTATGCATGTGTGGCACATGCAGACACACGTGCACATGTGCTGAGGCCCGGGGCCACCTACTCTACCACGGGTTTCTTTCTGGGGCTCAAGTGTGCCTTGGTGGGGAAGCAAGTTCTGGAAGTCATCACGTGCCCACAAACCATCCTCTGATGTCACAGGGAGGCAGTGAGGAGTGAGGCATATGCAGGACTTAGAGGGACACATGGGGCACCCACTAGGGAGTGGTGACAAGTGTTGCTCACCTGAGAGATCTGTGGGAGGCCACCACAATCTGCCATCTAGGAGAGAGGAAAGCGGGTCAGTGCCAAGCCCCTGTGACAGGTGCACTGGGAGTGGGGTGCACCACCCCACCTAGCAAGGGTGCTGTTGGGCATCCCAGTGTTAGACTGTCTCCTCAGCAACCTCTACTCATAGCTTTCCACAGCGCCAGCCCCACCATCTCCCAAGAATATGTGAGCGCTCCTTTTTGGGAAGTAGAGGCTGGGTCCAACAGAGCTGGAGCAACTTGCAAGACTGTGGCCAGAATCTGTCTGACCTGCAAAGGGTGCATGTAGGAGACCCTGCTTGCTTATTCTCTTTGGAAATCCTTCAAGAGGAAATTGGTAGATTGGAGGGTTCAGGTCTGATAGGGGCTCCTGACTGGGTGTCCCTGGTAAATGCTGGGGCTTTTAAAGTTTTTATTAAATCACAAAACTAAAGGCATTGTCGTCTAGCTGGAGTCCAGGCATGTGTGTGTTCACCTTGAGGGGTTTGGGGAGCACTGAGAGGGGCAGAGAGCTGGAGAGATGTGGGGCACGAGGCCTTGGCAGAAGGTGCAGGCTGCGCTCCCCCCTGCAGCCCAGGGCGCTCAAGGCCATCTCCTTGGTGCCAGCCACAAGGATACAGTCAGACGTGGCAGCCCCCAGCTCTGTGACGATCTAAGCAAACTCTAGGCATGGATACAACTCAGCAGGGCTGGGTGGTGTCCTGGCAGGATAGGGGAGACCCAGGCTGAAGCTGGTCCTGCTGTTGGATATTACCAAACCAGCTGCCTGCCCACTTGAGGCCACCCACCCTTGGCTGTGGGCTGCACCGTGTCCCCTAACAGGAATGGCACAGCTCCTATTCCAGGGACCTTGAAGGAGGCCTGCTCTGGAAATAAGGAGGAGCTTCACAGATAGAGCCCTAGGCTAGTGTGAGCCCTCAGTGTGATAAGTGTCATCCCCACAGAAAAGGGTGGCACACGCCCCAAGCCCCAGCACTCTGGGAGGCTGAGGCAGGAGGCCTGCGAGTGAGAGCTCAGCCCAAACAGTGTGTTAGTGAGAAACCTCTCTTAAAATTTAAAAAAAAAAAATTAAAGAGTTCAGCGTGAAGGCTTTGGGTTCAATCCCCAGCACCTTGAGGGACCTTAAAAATGAAGTCCCACAGACTTAGTGGCTTCGGCAATAGATACCACTCTCTCCTGGAGGCAAGAAGGCCAAAAGCTCGGCCCTGGCTGTCCCAGCTCTGCTCACAGAAGCCCCTGAGTGGTCTGGTCTCTGCCTGGCACTTGCTCTCAGGGACAGTTGGAGTCCCTAGGTGGGCATGCTACCCGCAGCTTGGGGACACAGAGCCCCTGCCAAGCGCTCCCTGTCCAGCACTCCTGAGCCCTAGGCCCATAAGCTCCTGGCCCTATAGCAGGGTCACTCTCCTCTGCAGCCTTGAGCCCCAGCACCTCGCCAGGGTTTGCACATGGGCAGGAGGAGCCTTTACATCCACCAGCTCCACCACCAGTGCTGCTCCTTCCTGGGAGCAGCTCCATTATACACAGCCCCTGGTGTGAGTCCCTGCCCACCCCATACCTTGAGCAGCGTGGTCTTCGTGGGGTCCAGTTTTGAGTTGCACTCCACCTAGGTAGGGCAGAGCTCGGTTAGTACTACAACTTGCCCTCCTGCTCTGCACTGGCACCAGAAACCCCAAGCTCCCCACGGCACGGAAGAACCTGAGTTCCTGGGCTAGGCAGAGAGGGCTTCAGTTCCCATATCTGCTGCAGCCTGCTGCGTGGCCGTGGGTGAGTTACTTAACTTCTCTGAACACCAGTTTCCCTGTGCATTAAATGAGGACTGAACCTCTTCCCAAAGATTGTTATAAGACTAGTGGAAGGGGGAGGGTATTCCAGAAGGGTCTGCTAAATGGACGGCCTTATTTTCCCTGCTGCTGTCAGGCACTGTACAGGTTTAACGACCGCAGTTCCAATAACTGCTCTCTATCGTAAATCAGCCCCACCAAGGTGGTCTGTGTCTCCACTCTGCAGCGGCCCTCTTAAAAGTAGCATCCAGAATTAATCAGATTATCTGTAAGTCATCTGTGATGTTTCAAATGCCGAAAGTAGAACTGTCACCTCCACTGGCAGGAGCAGGATACCTCTCTTGATGTGTCCAACGATTATCGCCAGTGAGTCATCCAAGAAACTATTGGTTCCTTACAACGCTGCAGGTCTTTACTACACATGACTGTCTACAAATTCTACTCTGTGGTCCAATTTGTGGCTCTTATCGAAGGACCTTAGGTCACCTATCTCCTCAAATGAAGGGAGGCCAGAAAAGCCGAGTCCTCTCTCTGCCTCAGCTGCACACAGGTAGGGATGGGAGGGGGCAAGGAGTGAGTCACAGAGCTTCCAGCTCCTAGCTGCTGTTTTCCTGACAGCCACCTGGGTACCAGACCAGCTGGGAAGATGTGCCTGGCTCTAGTGGGGGCGGGGGGGGGAGGTGCGGGCGGTGACTCCTGGCCAGGCAGGTGTTGAGCACAGCCCAGGTGGGGATAGGCTGCCCAGAAGCCAGGAGAGAGGCAGGTAGCTGGGCTTGGCAGTGTGGCATTCAACAGAAGGTGCCACCTGCACAGGCGGGGCAGTGCTGCCTGATCCTCCACCTCCACTTACCACGGTGTCCACGGCGGGAGAGCTGTCCCCAACCACCAACAGAGAAGGGCACCTAGTGGGCAAGAAGTTAATATGGGACTCAGCTCAGAGGCGCTCGTGCCTGCCAGGCCATCCCAGGACCCAGAACAGCTACACTGGCTCCTCGGACACCACTCCTTCCCCTCCCTTACCTGCTTTGCTCTGCGATGAGTGGGTTGGTAGTCACTGACACCTTAGTCTAAATTTCAGCCAGACCATTTCTGGGCCTGATGCTTTTATTTAAAAGTCCCTTTTCTGGGAATTATGAGCAGGACTTTGTCAATAATCAAGACAGAGACAAGAATGGCATGAAGCACAAAGGAAGCACAGCCTGCCAAATTCTCAAGGGGCAGACAATATGGCGTGCTCCGGGGGCCACACGAGACACGGTCCCTGCTGGTCACTCTCCGCTATCGTGTGGTCACTCCCTGCTATCGTGTGAGCAACTGCCTTTTCCTCCTACGCAGTCAGGCCCAGGCTTTGTGCAGTGAAGCCCAACGCAGCTCCAGACAGTGGAGCTGAGGGAAGCATTGTGGGGTGCGATCCGCACACCTCCTCCCACACCTCCCACATCGGGGCCTCCAGCTAGGCAAGGGTGCAGCATGCGCAGAGTGAGGGATGCCGAGGCCCACAGGCTGTGCCAGCCCAGGCAGCAGTCAGCCAGTTCTCCGTGCCCATGGTGCCCCACCAGCTACACTCAGCAGGCTAAGGCTGCGGGGTGGGTAGAGCCCAAGGACTCACTGCAGCGTCACGGTGTGGGCTCCAGGCATGGGCCGCTCAATCTCCAGGTCCCGGCGGCTGCAGGAGATATCATCAGCATCAGCAGATGCTGCCTGGGGGCAGCCTCTCCATCCACTGAGCCAACCCCAGGGGTCCACAGGTGGCCATAACGAACAGCCACCTACACCCATGCTCCATGCCAGCTCTTGCAGCTCCCAGGACACTGCTGAAGCCCCTCCCCCCCCCGCCCCTGTGCCCCGCAAGTGTGAGGGGACAGCAAGACTCGTGCACCTCCAGCAGAACCTGCCCCATTCTGTGCCAAAGCTATTGTCGTTATTGTGGTTTTACTGCAGGGACACGGATCGTCCTGTACTGCAGAGGATGCTTACGTCTCCCTGGTGTTCACACATCACCCCCCCACACCCGTGTGACCATTCGTCCTCCCTCACAATCCCCTCAGGGCCTCTGCTCTTGACCTAAGTCCACCCTCAACTCCCCCCATCCCTGGTCTCCACACAGTAGCTCAAGATCTCCCGCCGACTCAGACCTGAGCTCGCTCTAGCCAAGGTGCAGGCCCCAGGGGCTTCTCACTGGACAGCGCAGGGCTTAGTCTAGACCACCCTCCCTACACGTCTGCATCACCCCCTCCACAGCTGCCAATAAGACCACCCTTTGCACACAGTCTGCAGCCAGACACACAAGATTCCAATCAGGATCCACTACTGTGTGATCTTCGGGAGACTACAAGACCTCGCTGACCTTTGCTTCAATAGGAAATGACCACAGCAGCAGCAGCAGCAGCAGCACCTCCTCCCAGTTCACTGCTCTGCGCCCTCCGTGAGGAGAGGCGGGGAGTGGCGCTTGGGGTCGCTGCTGGGCTCCTGGGCTCCCTCACTTTTCAGCCCTAGGCCTCCCTCCTGTTCTGGTTAAGCAGTCAGGAGTTAACAAGCTTCAAAGTCAGCTTTTTCAGCAACAGCAAGAACCTCAGTAGAGCTGGCTGTGCAGAGATGCCGCAGGGCGTGAAAGGAAATGGCCATCAGACTCTGCTGGACACCAGCGCGCTTGGTGACACCAAGGTACTGTCCCGTGAGATGGAGCATCCCTGAGGCCATGACTTGCCCTCCTGGGGAGTGGGACAGATTCCTTCCGGCAGAGCCCTGAGACCCCTCCCACCTCCCAGTGCTGCACTGCTCTGCTTACTGCAGCTGTCCCTTGTGACCCCCCACAAGTATGTGCACCCGCCCACTATCCACGCACAGAGCCTAACTGCAGCCACTCCTGGCCAGTCCTTTGGTCACAAAACACCAGGAGTCCCTGACACACAGATGGCTTTGCCGGGTACCTGTCCTACGAGCCTGCTGCTCAAGCCCAGGACCTGCGCCCCGCAGGTGCCACCACCCTCGCCTGCCCGCCCTGCTGCCCCGACCGGGAGTACCTGTTGTAAGCATTGATGAAGAGGTGCAGGTTGCCGGGGTTCATGTCGTTGAGGATGTGCTGGCGGTAGGTGTGCACCACCTCCACGTTGTTCTGCATCTCCTCCTGCAGACACAGAGCATATTCGCTATGGTGCCAGGGCCTGGTTGTCCCTCGGCCTCCAGCTCCAGGTCGCTGGGTACAGAGTGAAGACAGTCATGGAGCGTGAGGAAGGTGTGGGGACAGCACTGTGGCAGTGCCCAAGGCAGACTGGCACCTGCCAGCCAGAGTGAGGTGGGAAGAAGCCCCATCCGGAGGGCATGGCTCTGGCTCCTGGGCTCAGGTACAGTGTCACAGAAGGCTGAGGGCTGCTGGTGGGCGGCCCAGCCCCTCTGCTACCCCTTCCGTGGGTCAATCTTGTGACCTCGCTGGGTTGTGTGTCCCTCACACACAGAGGACGTTTCCAGGATTTAAGGCAGCTCTGCACACAAAAGTCTTTTGCATGCATCCCAAATCAGATACAAATGCCAGCGATTCATTTTTAATGGAGAAAGTTGGAGCTTTTCATGCTTGAAAGCTGAAACCAAATCAGGCAACAACAGGAAGTCGCTGGAAAGTAGAGATCTCAGTTCCCACAGAGCCCCCAGCACCCTTGTGGAGGTCGATCTCAGCCGGCCTGCTCTCTGGGGCCTTTTGGGCATGTGATTTGAGCTCGCTTTGTCTCTCCTCTGTGCAGTGGCAGACACACAAAGACCTGATGTGACCAGGGACAAGCAGAGCAGGGTTAGAGGTGGCCAAGTGCCAATGTCAATAAGTGTGAGCCGTGTCCACACAGCCCACAGTCGCTGAAGCACAAGGAGGCCAACAGGTTTTTAAGAAAAAAGCTAGGAAAAATAGTCTGAGAAATCGTCCTAAGATTTCTAGCCAGAACACAGCTGCAGAAACCTAGGGGCACCAGGGCCTCCCACTTCCTGCCTACCCCATCTCCAATAGCCTGGGGTACAATCAGCTCAGATTTTCAAGGCAACAGGCTGTGAACTTTCACAAATCTCTCTCTGCCCCAGATGATCCATAGAGGGCAGAGAAAATGGCCAGAGCTGGCCACCAGCACGCTGTGCGAGTCCTGGCCCCGAAGCCCACAAGGGTGCTGTGGTAGGGACAGCTGTGCAAAGCACAGCCCACCTCAGAGCCAGGTGAGGAGGCCCAGGTGGCAGCCCCTTGCAGCAGGCTCCAGCATGGATGCTGGTGGCCGACTTGGTGTAAATCCCGGGCAGCCTCTTCCCTGTGGAGGTCACTCAGCTAACCTTGGCCCCATTTCCTCATGTAAAGAGTAGGAATGAAAATAGTACTCATTTCACGGGTCACAGAGCCAAGCGGGCTCTGAGAGAACAGCACCCAGCACGCAGCCGGCCCCAGCAGGACTTTGCTGCAGCTCTTACCTGTCAGATCTATAAGGGAGAAGAGCGCAAGGTCCACGAAGGGGGAACAAGAAAAGCTGAGACACAGCAGCCCCTGAACTCTGCTTGGCTCTGAAAGGGAGTGCACTGTCTCTAACAACAGTGCAGAGGAAATAAGCGCTTCCCTGGCAAGCACACGGACCCGAGTTCAATCCCTGGTTCCAGCACAAAAAAAAACAGCACAGAGGGGCCTCGGAATAATGATGCTGTGGGGCTGGAGAGATAGTTCAGTGGTCTAAGTGCCTGCCTGGCAAGCACAAGGACCTGAGTTCAATCCCCAGTACTGTATACTGTGCCAGCCCCAAAACCAAAGGAACATGCCTATAATCTCTCTGCTGGGGAGGCTGAGACAGGAGGATCACTATGAGTCTGAAATGTGTAGTGAGACCCTATATCAAATAAATAAATTAATTTAAAAAATAATGCTGCTGAGTGGGAGAAGCCAGACCCAAAATAGTAATATACACTGCCCAATGCCCTTCTGTTCAAACAAGAATTATACAGTGATCTACAGTGGCAGAAAGGAGAGCAGGTGTCTAGAAGGACAGAAAGGAGCATTATCAAGGGGTGCAAGGAAGCTTTTGGGGTATTGGGGATGTCCACTGTCTAGATTTTAGCGATGGCTTGACAGATATATCCCTAGACCTAATTATGTCAAAATACTGCAGGGTGTTGGGCTGCAATTAGAAGACCTATGCGCAAGGGGGAGGCAGAGCGAATAGGTCTTGCTAAGCTGCCCCAGCAGCACAGGCATCAGCATAGGACCCCTGTGACCGTGTCTTAGTCATCTCACCCCATTCACAAGGCTCCCTGCTGAGCACCACAGCTAAGCACAGGGTCTGAACATGCCAGCGCCAGGCCTGCCACTCACCTTCCCGAAGAGGTGAGACATCACCATGTCCGGCAGGGCCTGGGTCCATCCAGAGATCTGCAGGGAAGACAGTAGTAGTGCATCAGAACCAGGGTCCACCACTGTGAGCCCAGCTCAGCCTTCCCTACTGCCCGGGGACAAAGTAGCATTCTGCATCCCTGGCTCTCAGCTGGAGCTAGCATCTGGAATGTCTGAAGGGGCCCCACATGGTGAAGCCTAGGTTCCCAGCTTGGCACTTTGGGGAGGCGGCGGACCCCTTACGAGATGAGGCTCAGCAGGATATCTTTAGGCCACTGGAGGTCCTGCAAGGGGACTGTGGAACCCTGGTTCCTTCTTCTCCATCTGCACTGTGCTGTCTAGTGGTAGGTGAACAGCTGTGGCCCGCCGCATGCTCCCTCCATGGTGAGCTGTCTCACTACAGGCCCAAGACACATGGTCAAGCACACATGGATGGGAACCTGCCAAAGTGTGAGTCGGAACCCTTTCCTTGTTGAAGGGTAATGATCTCACATATGGGCTGTGGAGATGGGAAGTTGAGGACCTGCCCTGCCTCAGCTGGATCTCATTGCTGCCGCCTGCCTCCGGCCCCATGCTGAGTGGGAGCAGGTCAGCCTGGGTCTCCATCCAAGCTTTCATGCTCAGAAGCCCTGCCAGGAGGCGAACAGAGCCAGATGCCTGAGCCTCGCACACAGGTGTCCCTCTCCACAGCTGCGTTGGAGAGCAAGGACGTGGTATGGACATAAACCCAGCAGACCTCGGGCTCCACTGCAGCCAGGAGCCAGTGTCCCCAGCCCTCCTTGCCTGGCCCAGAGCAGATGCTCAGGAACGTCCCTGAGGCTTGGCTCCTGAAGGTCATGTGGGTGAGAGGGCAGGGCTCCCAAGTTCTGGGGAGGCACAGAGGAAGGAGGAATACATCAGAGCAGCTATAGCAGGGATGGCTGGGGTGGGCAGTGCCCTAGCACTCCTCCCTCACAGCTACTTCAAACGGGAGAGAACACATTCCCAAGGAGATGCTGGCTCCCCCAGCCTGAAGGGCTTCATCTTATTTCCATTGGAAAGATTCCTGCTCCCTTGGCAAACACTGGGGCCTTGATGGGGAAAAAATTAAAATAGGAATAATAACCATTTATAAAGATAAACAGGATAAACACAAAGCCCCAGGAGCTCAGCTGGGCAGGGCCTCCCCAGCAGCTGGGCTGTTCGCCCTGCAGCCTGTCTCTGACCCAGCAACAGTGACCCAGAGCCAGTGACAACCAGGACCACGGACCTTGCAGTCAAAGAAATGTGTGTCCAGTGCAGTTCTGCTGCCCACCTCTGTGTGACCCTGGACAGCTTCCTTAACCTCAGTTTCCTCCTCTTTGAATATGTCGGAAAAAGCCCTGCCTCCTGGGCTGACTGTGGAGACCAGGGGTGAAGAACAATGGCAGGGGGGCAACTCCCAGATACAGTGCTAGTTACCATGGCAACTAGCATCACAGTCAGGACAGAAAACAAACTCATTTTTCATCAGTACTGTGAGCACTCCTGAGAGACTTCTGTCCCATTCATCAGCATTGTGAGAGGAGCCCAGCACACCGCAGGAACCCAGCAGACACTCAGGAATCTAAGTGATGCTTGCGAGGCTGGCTCAGGAACCCATGGCCCTGTGACATCAATGGTGTAGACAGAAAAATCTCGCTTAAATATTCTGAGCGGCCTATAGTGGAGCAGAGGAAAGATGCTCTGCTTGCTGGGCCGGGAAGCAGGAGGAAAGGAGGAGGGTGGCCAACAGGGGCCCAAGGCTGCGCCAGGCCGAGCCCGTGCATCCGCCCATCCTTCAAGCCGCATCTGCACGCAGGGCCCGGCCCTCCTCACCTTGGAAGCAGCCCAGTCCATCCAGCCTTCCGCACAAGGGTTCACATTGATGAGGACGAGACCTTCCACCATCTCAGGGTTGTTCAGCTGCGGGTGGAGACCCAAGGTCAGATGGACAGGCAGACAAGAATCGGAAACCTAGGGGCTTCCTGTCACAGAGAAGCTTGGGAGAAGAAAGGGAAAAAGGCGAGGGGGAGCCCCAGGGGCCACCACGCTCAAGGTCATGAAGACCCCTGAGTCCCACTGGGTAGCACTGGGCTTCCAGACACTCAAGACTGAACAGCTCCTCCAGAGAGCGGATTGAGGAGGCCTAGGAGGAGCGCACCCTGGAGACCTGCCCGGCGAGCCCTGCTGCCCTGCTGGGCCTCGGCTGTCAGATGGGTCCACCTCATCCGCTGCATAATCAGATGGTGCCCACATGCTCTATGCCACTTTGTCACTTCCAGGGAACACACAGATCCTGAGGACACAGCTACAGCCTGTGACTGATCTGCTCAGAGCTGAGATGCTGGACCAGGGTGTGCCCTCCGCATCTCTAACCTGCAGCAAAGCACAGACCTGACGGACGCATCAGAACACTGCGGCTGAGTACAGCGAGTGCTCTGGCATTCAGAACAAAGCCTGGGAAGAACCAAAAGACCTGAAGCCCCTGGCTGGGGCCCACTGTGACAACAGCAATGACGGTGTCATGGACATCACAGGTTTCCGAATCGAGTTTGGAATCAGTTAGTCCGAGACTATAAAAACCAGTGGTGACAAAGCCATTCGTCCTAACTGCCATGAGCCAGGCTGGGACAGAGAGCACATCTGGTGCTATGCTTCAGTGAGGGAGAAGGCAAAGGTGTGGGGGTGCGCGCACATGAACACACACATGGTTTCTAGATGCTCTTTCAGATCTCCAAATATAATTTTGAGGAACTCACAGCAAAGCGGGTGAGGATGTAGGCGCCGGCACCTGTACCCATGCCAATGACGCTCTTCAGCCTGGAAAGGAATTGAGAAGTCACGTCATGGGGAGGGGAGACACCGCAACTCCTGCCTTGTCCCGCAGTGTGTGCCCTGCTCCTCCTGTGGGGGGTGACAAGCTAGGCTAAGTGGAACCCGAAGCTGCTCATGCCCTGGACGACCCTGGGGCAAATCGGGCCCTGAGCCTCAGCATGGACCAAGGAGCCTGACCCTGGGGGAGCTTGTCCTTCTCAGTCCCTTGCCCTGCTGCCAGGGCCCCAACTCCTGCCATTTACAGCGAGGTGCGTTACAGTCTCTTCCACCCCCCTGCTTTAATCTCAGAATGAAATCAACAGGACCAGAACCATGTGGCGTTATCTGCCAAATGGAAAAGGCTCAATGGGACTGTGGCAGGAGGGCTGCAGGAGGATGCAAGTTTGAGCCCAGCTTGGGCAGCTTAGTGAGGCTGCAGGATGTTTTCTCAAAATAAAAAATAAAACTGGGCTGGGATGTAATTTAGTGAAAAGGCCTAGGTTCAATCCAGGCCTCAAGAGAGGAGCTGAGGTACTGGCAGCTCTGTTCCAGAACATTCCATGTGGAGCGGAGGAGGATAAGGAGCAACAAGGTGAAGACAGGGTAGGGGTGGCTGCCATCATAAGACTGGCCCCTCAAGAAGAAAGGCTGAAGTAGGAGAGGAACATGGGGCGAGGGTAGGGAAGGACACGGGGCACACTACGGTGATCTCCTTTGGCCCCAACCTGCTGCCAGGGGCCAGGCTGGGTCCCCTCCAGGAGGCAGGAAGCCCAGAAGCCACCTGTCTCATGTACTTACCCAAACTGGCGAAGGACTCCAGGAAGCATCTCGGCCAGCTGATCCATGGAGGGGTACATGTACCTGGGAAGATGCAGAGAAGCAGCCAGTGAGAGGTGGGATCCCCACCAACATGGGTGGTGCAGGCCAGGATGCCCTGCGCCTGACTCCTGGCCTGGCCCTTCCACACTACGCTGCACACCCACAGCACACAGGAACAGGGGCTCACCCTGCCCAGCTGCCATATGAGGCCAGCCCTACTCCCCTCCTAATCCCCACCTTCATTTTATAAAGTGGCTTTGGATGCACTGCTGCCCCTGCCCCAGGCCCCATGGAAGAGGCACCCACGCAGAGATTCAAAGCTCACTCAAGTTTCACACTGACTCTGAGGTTGCTTTGACTCCCAGCACCAAGTTCATAAGCATCACTGAGGCTGAGAACAAGTCATGTGGCTGTACAAGACCCCTGTGGGTGGCGCAGCTGTCTTCTCTCTGGCGGGCCCAGGATAGGGATGGCGATGGCAGGGGTACTAACCAGGGGTCCTGACTCCTGCTTTGCTGAATCAACCTCAGGATTGAGAGCTGTCACCCTCACAGGGCCTGGGAGCCCCTTAAGAGTGACTCTATCCCTGGATGCCTTTCACAATCTGACCTCAGGGAGAGGAAGCAGAACCCTGACTACATCAGCATGGAAACTATGGCCCCCACACAGCAGGTTCTTAAAGAAGGAACCAAGGGGCTCTGCAGACATACTCAGACCAGGAGCTGGCTGGCAAGTCAGCAGAAATGCATGAACGTGACCATGACAGAGCCTAGCAAGTGACATCAGGGGACTGAGAGGGGACATTGCAAAGGGGAGATGGTTCTGCTGAAGAGGTCAGGAAATGCTTCTAGGGGAAGTGATGCTGCGGGGTATGGAAGCCCAGAGAGGAAGCAGAGGAAGCCACAGAAAGGGCCAGGAAGAGCTGGATGCTGCGACTCTACCAAGCTGAAGAGAGCCTGAGGAGGGAAGGGACCATGGTGTCAGGACTCAGTGTGCAGTCAGCAGCTCCCAAGTGTGGTGCTGGGGAGCCACCTACCTCAGGGGCTTCTCTGCCCTCCCCACCCCCAAGGCCAGCTGTAAGGCAAGGAGGGACTCAATCCTTGTCCAAGGGGCAGACTGCAGAGCCCAGGGACAGGTTCCCGAGCCCTGCTCTGCGAACTCAGCCTCGGGATTGAGGAGGCCACCCTTTCAAGGCCTGGAAACCCTTAAGTGTAACTCCAGGGCACAGCAAACCAAGCTCCTTCCGACACTGGCTCCCCCCACTGCACCCCTGGTTGCCTAGTTGCCTTAGAGGAAGCAGCCTGCATCCTGGACTCCACAAAAGCAAGTCACAGTTTCTGCAGGTGGAGCCCAGACAGGGGGCACTAAGAGCCTGTTTCCCTCTAAGTCTTGCAAATGTGTGGTCCTACCCAGGACTCTTACTGACGGACTTCCAGGGCTTTATCTTCTGGTTAAGAATTAACTGTATCTCACTGTTTTAATAAGCCCATTACCTTTGGTTCTGGCCTTCTGGGGCTGAGTGTCCCTCCCTTTCTTTACTGATAAATGTTAGTAATTAATAATTCTAAAAAATATATTAAAAAGGGCTATCTAGCTGTAAAAAACCCAAGGGTCCTTAGGGAAGCCTGTACACTCAGGGACAGTCCACCTGGTCTAAAGCACTGCAGTGTGGGCATTCTGGGGTGTCCCCGAGGGCTGCTTCCCGAGGTAACACAGCTGGGGTCATAAGCTGCCCTCACCGCAGCTGTACGTGTGACGTGGAAGTGCCGCACCATCCACGCAGAAGGCCGGGGAATAAAACACCCAGGCACAAGGCAGCTTCATGCGCTAAAGGGACATGGGGCTTAGAGCCAGCAGCAGACCAAAGCAAAAGCCCAAAGCCCCCTTCCAGCTGCATGCCCTTGAGCAAGGTGGAGAACCCCTTGTGTCTCAGCTGCTTCATCTAGAACATGGGGCCGACGACACCGGTTGTCAGGTACATGACAATGACACTGACAGATACAAATTCTGGAGCGTGCAGTACGTGCACCTGTGGTATTGCCTCCCGCCCCTCTTTCTTCTAAATTTCCAAGGCTTTTCACCGCCGAGGCCCACTCTTCTATGGCTCCCTCCTGGTTGCATGGAATGCACCTGCCATAAAGCCATCCTCGCCAGAGAGGAGAGGAGTTTAGTGAGCGCAGTTTCAGCAGGGTGTGAGGAAGAGGTCCTGGAGGGAGCTACCCAGCAGTGACTGCACTCAATGCCAGAGCACCAAAACTGAGCACTTCAGAATGGTTAAGATGTTAAGTTGAATGAAATAGTAAATTTTATATTTTATCCTGATTAAGAAAGTCTGTTAAAATGAGCTCGATCCCTCCCCATCCCTTCTCCCCTTGCATGGCTCCTGCGGCATGAACGACCCTAATGCTCTTACCCTGCTGGGAAGGAGGGCGCACCATCCTGCTGCCCAGGAGCATCCACATGGCACACGGCGAAGTGCTGTGTGATCTCCTGCATGTCCTCGGAGTTGAAGAGGGGGTTGTAGCAGGTTTTGTCTGGAGGGAAGGCCAGGAGATGGTGAGGAAGAAGTCAGGCAAGGAAACAGTGGGTGCTGGGTGGCTGTGCAGCCATGTACATTGCTTTGGCTCCGGTGCTGGGAGGGCTCCCAGTCCAGCTCCTGCCCTGGCCCAGCCATGGGTGCATGTGATGGGCTGGTCTGGCTCCTCTCTAGGTCCTCTAGGCTGTCAAATCTGGGGTACTGGCCAGGGCGCAGAAAGCTTTCAAACATGGAGGAGCATAGTAGGTAAAGCATGAACCGCCTAAGGTGTCCTATGTGAATCTGCCACTTGTAGAGGGCCTGAGGTGTTGCTAGTCACCAAACCTGTCACCTTTTCCTCCTGGATCACTCGTAACTAGTGGAAGTCATGCGACTGGGCTTTGACCAACAGGATGTGATGTCACCATGTTATCCACACATCTGCAGCCAGTCCCCTATGCTTCGCTCGTCTCCCACCAATCTTTCAGATCCAGAGCGGCAGCAGAAGCCTCTGAGGACCCAGGAGTACTGGGTCCCTGAATCACTACCCTGACCATGTGCCACTTGGTACTCACTGAAGTTACACAGTGAGGAAAAGCAACGGGTTGTGTTAGGCCAGAGTGGGCCTGCAGTCTTTCAACACAGCCTTTAGTCTGCTGTAACTCACAGGGGGGCCTTTCTGAAACAGCAGAGAGGAGCCACTTCACATGCTTGATGCCAGCTCCTCCCAGAGCTCAGCGGCACGGGACAAAGTCTAGACAGTACCCAGCGTGGGACCTGGTGTGTAATGGACACAAGGGACAGATAGGCAAGACGCGAGATAAAACAAGTTGGGAATGAAAGGGAAGTGGTTTCCAGTCCCTGACATCATCCCAACTCAAGGCATTAATCAGTATTGGAAAAATATAAATAAAGCAGGCCATCGAACCAAATCCTGCAGGCCTCCAGCCTGGCAGTTTTCACGTTTGTAACAAAATGCCTCCTGACTCACCATAGGAAGACTCCCCTGCACTCTGAGTGGCGTTAGCAGTCGGAAGATCTAGTCCAGCCCCCTTGGAAAAACCAAGGCACTCGGGACTAAGAATTTGGTGTCTAAACATCTACATAGCGTTATTCACGGTAGCCCCTACGTAGAGACAACCCATAGCTGAAGAGCGGACGAATGAGAACGCTGCATCCTGCAATGAACTGTGCTGGGCAGAGGGCTTGGAGGAGCAGCCAGGGCCCAGTAGGGTTAGAGACCGAAGAACTGTGAGGGGAGTCAACCACAAGAGCCCACTCATGCTGTGATCCCATCTATGGAAGGTTTCCACAACAGACAAATCCACAGAGTCAGAAAAAAGATGCGTGTCAGCACCAGGGCATGGGGAGCACAGAACACTGGGGTTGACACACATTTCATTTTGTGTGAGAGAAATGTTCTAAAATTGCCTCCTCTCCTGGCTGTACAACTGTGTGACAGTGCCAGATGCCCATCACAGTACATCTCTGGCTCCCCCAGGCCACAGTAAGTGCCCCCACCAGGACAGCTCAGCAAGGTTCCAAAATGGACGGGCCCTTTCCAGCTGGCTTTTGTCCCTGCCTCTGGGCCCCAGAGCTGTGGGGAACTTACGGTTCATGCCGATGTCATGGTATGTAAGGATGACGGGCCGGTTTCCCTTGGGGGTCCCACACAGGGTGATGTGCAGAGAGCCGTGTAAGGTCTCGATGTCCTGCTCCTGGGGAAAGACAGCACATGGAGGCCTGCTGAGTGGGCTGCACGTGCTCTGAGGATGCTCCTAGTACACATGGGGCCCAGAGCCCTGGGCAGCAGGTCTTCAGGAGGGAGGAGACAGAGGAAGGGGGAGGCCCAGAGTGGACGGCACCATTGCTGCACAAAGCTACAGCACCAGAGTGGCCCAAGACACGCTGAAAAACACTGTTTCCTCTGTTCACAAAGGGGACCCTTTGAGGGGGGAGCAGAAACAAAAAATCTGCCACCTCCTCTCCTCACCCCACCCACAGCCCTGCGATGACAGCTGACGGTTCTGGGTGCCTGGAGTGGACTTCCTGTTCCAAGAAGAGCCTTCAGTTTCCTTTGCAAATCCATCCCTCACCCTGGGTCTTAGCAGGAGTGTGGGCGCTTGGCCCTTCTTCATGTTCCACAGGCTCGAGCTAGTTTTTGGACTTCACCTCCCAACTTCAGACTTAGAGCCCGCGTCACTCACTCCTTGCCCCTGGGGGCAGAAGGCACTTGACGTGGCAGGGCTGGGACCTGGAGCTGGACAGCAGCAGCCACACTGTCACAATGAGGCAAGAGCCTGCCTAGAGAAAATCCAGCCAACCCAGAAGACGAGAAAGAGTGAGAGGTGGTCTTAGGGATGGCATCTACCACCTAGAATTCTCAGTCCACCACTTCTAACCCACATATACCATATGCGTTGACTAAAACCATCCTAAATAGCAACACATTTCTCCTCTCCTCTGTTCCCTCTCAAAGGGAAGGTGGGTTCTCCCCAGGTCAAGGATAATTTCTCAGCCTACATCAAGTAGGCTCACTCAGCTGCCCCCTGCCCCTACCAGCTGGTACAGAAGCCCTCAGGGCTCTCCAAACAGCTCTTGCTGTTCTCCCACCTTAAAAGAACGAAGCCCCCCATCTTGGTTCTAGCTACCTCAGCTCATTCCCAGGCCCAATTTCCCCTTGCCGTCGTCACCGAAACTATCCCAGAGGACAATGGTCATGGGCTTTTCCCAACCAGCCACCTTCTCCCCAGTCTTGGACCTCCCTGCCTTGGGTTTCTGACCCTTAGTTACCCAGAAGCTCCTGCAGACCCCAGTCAGTCTGCCTGGAGGGACCCCGTGTCTGAGAGCAGTGACCTCCCTTCACCATGCCACCTCTCCACAGGGTACACAGAGGCCTTCCTGATGATATAAACACTGAGCCACTTCTTTTCAGCCCCTTCACCTTGCTAAGAGCTCTGAAACCTATGACCCTTTCTCTCTCTGGCTGAGGGGCATGAAGTGGTAGTCAGAGCCACACAGGCAGGTGACAGAGGGGTGCTCCCAGGCAGCTAGACTCAGCATCCCTCATATAGTGGGTGATTGAAAATGCCAACCCACACTCACACTGCCAGGGTCCACTCCTCTAGGGTTACTCTTGAGAGAAGATGAGGCATGAGAGTGGAACAGTGGACATGCTAGAGCCAGGAATCCACTGACAAGCCACCTCACAAGAAGGGACAGGTGACCACCCAGCTAGGAGCCCATGGGCTTGCACTGATCATCCCATCTGTAACTTGGGTGCAGCCTGGTGCCTGTCCACCTCCTGAGTGTGTTGGAGACCTATGGGACACAGCAGGCAGCTGTACCAGGACCCCTATGCAGTCATCTCTGGTCAGGCAGAGTGACTGGCCACACCTCACTGTCAACATAGGCTGGAGGTTAGATCCTGCCTCTGTTCCTACTTGCAACTGTGGACACTTAGGCCAGTTCTATTTCATTCAGCCACCATTTATTAGGCACCTACTATGTGCAAGGCTCTCAAATTCCTCAGAGAGATATGTGGACAAAAACTCCCAAGCCAGCGGCCAGTCGTAGAAGGCCCCTTACGGGGCAGGTTCTCTGGATTTACCCTAGTGGGGGCTGGCAGGAAGCCCAAAGAAGGCTCTCAAATCCTGCAAAGCCAGTGAGAGTCTGATCCAAGAAGAGAAAAACATGTCTGCATTTAGTGTCCTGTTTCAGCAAGAGCCACCATTCCCTGTGCTGAGCGAGGATCATGGGGGTCTTGGCCCTAACACAGAAACCCTGGAAGCACACAGAGTGAGAGCCATGCTGCACCCTCATGGAGCAGGAGGGCTTGGGCCCACAGAGGGTCCAGAACGATGGTGCTGACACATAGGCACAGCTTGGAGGAAACCCTCACCCTGGGTCTCCTCAGAGACCCCAACCAAGTTTCCTGGAAAACAGCAAACCAGTCTGCCATTTCCTGCCCTCCTGCCCTCTGAGACCAGCACTGCTTCTCTGGTCATAACAAACACTGGAAAAATCCACAGCCGACTTCATCAATGACCAGGCCCAGCCCCCATGGGGCCACTGGTCATCTGCTGGGCCCTGAAGCCACAATGGCTCATTGTGGGGTCACAATCTTTATTGTCTGACCCACATGGCTCCCTCTAAAAATAGGCCAAGCCAGGCAGTGTCCCCTCTGCCCACACGCTCAGGTTCAAGGGTATGCTCCAACCCCCAGCCCTGCAGGTCCTGGCCTCTGAACTGGAGAGAGCAGCTCCTCCAGCCCCTGAGGATCAGAATTACCATGTGAATCTGAACAGGTTCCCGCAGGAAGGGATGCTCAGCACACACGACACAGCGGTGGCAGAGGGTGGTCACCCAGCCTGCCTGCACCTTCAAAGGTGCTGGGAGGCCCAGGAGTGGGATACTCTCTCCTCTTTCACCCATCTCTTCGGCTGCATTACAACATAGAACTTTTAATTTGAATGGCCCACCCCCCAATCCTCAAGGAAGGCCACCTAGGTGTCTGATTATTCCACTCAGAACTGCCTACACAAAGCACCAAGGACCACTGGCAAAACCTCAGACGTGCAGGGCCATGGATGTGTGACCTCCCAGAACAGCACTCTCGCCACCACAGCACTGGCAACCTCAGATTCACACCAGGTGGCTGCTCCCTGTAACATCTCCCAGGACCAGCTCACTCTCAGCACGCAGGAGTCCTCCCCACAGCCTGTACCTGGCCCTGCCCTGATGCTTAGCCTGAGCAGGTCCCCACATTTGCCACGTCCAGACTTACCAGGGCAAAGGCCCCAGTGTTAGGAGACAGAAGTGATGTCATGGTGGTCCATGATGCAGGCTGCCCCTCATCACGAGTGGGCTGAGGTAAGAGACAAGGCGAGCTAAGCACCCACCCAGCCCAGGCAGGGCACCTGACACACAGCCGCAGGGACGTGCACAGGGCAAGAAATCCAGTGACCTCCCCTGGCCACCAGCCGATGTGGTAGAACAACTACAGTCCTGCCTTGTGGGGTCCTGGGCCCTTGGGTCAAGGTCCATGGGCCACCCCCTAGGCCCTCTCTGAGCTCCACACCTATCAGTCTGCATAGGAAAGAGGGGCAAAGCAAATGTGCGCATGCATACATGTACACACACACACACACACACACACCCCACTACACCAACTTCTGTGCTCTCTCTCTCCATTGGCCAAATTCAGGAAGACTGTCTAAGACTGAATGGGAGAATTAACACACACAAACACACGCCATTGTGTTCTTTGGGTCCCTAAGGAACATTCTGTCCTGTGCCTGTAGGGATGAATCACCCAGTGTCCTGGGAGAAAGGACCTGTCCCACATTCACAAAGATAGGGCACCAGTAATCAAATGTCATTCCACTGTGTGTCCCTGACGGGAAGACTTCCTGTATCCGGGTTCATCACCCAGAACCTTCTGCGCAGCCCCATCACAGCTCAGAAGCAGCCTGCAGAAGACCCTCATGGGAATCTCATCCAGCCGTGGGGGTGCGAAAGACAAAGGCCCCAGAACAAAGGCCACTCTGGTTCTTCTCTACCCTGTTCTGGAAGATTCTAGAAGCTTCTTTCTCTGGGTGCAGTGTGACGGCTATGATGGTGGTGGCAGGAATTGCACTGGCCAGCCCATTACAAGCCCTGCCCAGAGTGTCCTCTCACTGACTACACAACGACCCCTTTGGGTAACGCTCATCTACGTTCTACAGATGAGGGAACTGACGGTGAGCGGGGTTAAGTGACTTGCCCAAGTTCACACAAGAGGAACGGGAGGGGCCGGTGTGAAGCAACGGTGCATCTGGCCATCGTGCCCTGTAGGCAGGCCTAGCAGGAAGGGGCTGGAGGAGGCTCGCTACTCGAGGCATACTGTGTTGCCCGACGGCACACAGCAGCTCAGGTCCCCACACTCACGCAGCTGCAGGTCAGTCCAGCTCCCCACAGCTCCCAGTGCTAACCACACAGCCGCTGGGGTCACCTCGGCAGCAGAGCAGAGCCCAGCGCCTGCTCCTCCTACCCTGCCGAGACGCGCCTTCACCCTAAACTGCAGGCGCACAGGGATGGGAGTGTGGGAAGCACAAAGGACGAAGCCCAAGCATCTCTGGGTGGTGGAGGCCCGGCTGCGCACCTACTCCCGCAGCACGTGCCTGCTCTTGCTAATGCGCAGCAGCCACAATCGGAACTGTCTGCACAGCGACTGCCTGCTCGAGCATACTGCCGGTCCCCAGAGAGGAAAGAGGACTGTGTAGACAAGCTCTGGCCCAGAGGGGAGGCCTAGGGAATGGCACAGTCTGCATTGCCTATTAGCCAGCAAGCAGCCCACACGGCTCCCACCACGAGGGCCTACACCTGGCAGGTGGCGAACGACACCTGCCGCTACATACAACCGGAAGGTTTCATCTCTGTGGCTGTCCATCCTGGCTTGGGGGCCTAATGAACTAGAGCAGACAGTTGGAGCAGACCAAACAGCTCTTCTTTCTCTCTCTCTTTTTTTAAAAAATTAATAAGATTCCATTTTTTTCTCTAAGCAGCAGTATAGCTTGATAAAATTCTCTTCTTGCCGTCTCTCTTGTATCGAAGCTGGTCAAGAGACATGGGTTTGGACAATGTGAAACGAGCAGAATTTTCTAGGCTTTCAGTTAAAGGATTCTGTTTTGTATGTTTCTTATTTAGTTTTTAAGGATCAACCTTAGGGGCTGAAGAG